TTAAAATAGAGCACAAATCCTTAAATAGATACATGTATAAGTAGTTCATATATATGATTTGAAGAAGTTATGCATGACATGTTTTCCTACAGCGGATCATAAAAGGTTTTTTTAGTACTGATTTGTATGTTTATCTCCTCAAAAGAAATTGTTATATATATGATTAAAAAATAAACTGAAAAAAAATCATGAACCCAAAGTTGCATCTCAAATATAGAGTAGATCTGTTCTCAATTCTATTAACTTCCAAAACTTTAAAGATCAAGAACGAGATTCTATTGATATCATACTATGCTACTATAAAAATATAAAAAAAAAATTGATATGCACACACACGTTCAGTACCCAAAGTAAAATGAAAGTCAAGTGGTGATTCAGTGCTTCAATAGGACACCAACCAAACAACACCAGGCCACAAAAAAGGAAAGACATCTAGTGATATAGATTTGTGCATACGGACTTTAACAACAGAACATTTCTCGCTAGCCACTAAGAAAATTACACCATACTCATTTTCAGTGGAATATGTTACACAGTCTGTCAGACAGTTAAATTCGATGAATAAGAGAATGGCTTTGTTCATTTCACCGGCATCAGTTTTACCAAAAGGAATTGTACGAAAAATAGCTAAATCTGGACTGGAACAGCGGCACCTACCATTGGCATATGAATTAACGTGAGGGGTCTAAATTTTTTTTTTTGAAAACCCAGAGTCACAAAAGACAGAAAAATTATAGCTTCAGTTAAATCATTTTATAAATCAGGACATAAGATTGATTTCTTTTTGATTTTATTACTTTTTTATGTTCATTTACTTACAAAGTCTTTCCGTCTAAAATATGTAATTAATTTATACATGTATATCTATATTGAACTTATCGGTTTATTTATAATTTCATTTAAAATACAAGTCCATGAAAGAGGGTCTAGTTGGGGTTTATGGAATACAGAATAATTGGCAAAAGGTGCAGAATATTACTATAGGCAAATGAAATAGAAAATAGAAAAAAATAGAGAATAATGGGATACTAAAATGTAACGAATAGAGAATACTGGTAATGAAAAATAAAGAATGAAGGACCCCCTACAGAGTTGGATCCAGCAGGGGTTGGTCACCCGGTGCACCTGACCCTCCTGGTGTTGACAAAAATGGTGCACCATGTATATTTTATTACAATATTTTTGAATAATTTATCAGTTTGTCTATCACTGGTAATAACGTACCTTAAGGCAAACAATTTACATTTATCTTGACATCTTAATCTTTGATTACATGTTCCTTGTAACTTAATCGTTGATTACATGTTCCTTGTATCTTAATCGTTGATTACATGTTCCTTGTATCTTAATCGTTGATTACATGTTCCTTGTATCTTAATCGTTTATTACATGTTCCTGAGTATCTTAATCGTTGATTACATGTTTCTTGTATCTTAATCGTTTACTACATGTTCCTTGTATCTTAATCGTTGATTACATGTTCCTTGTATCTGAATCGTTGATTACATTTTCCTGAGTATCTTAATCGTTGTTTACATGTTCCTTGTATCTTAATCGTTGATTACACGTTCCTTGTATAACCATACATGTTTAACGATCGTATATTACTTATTCGATTCCTTTGATATGTAGGTGTGAAACTGAAGTGATAGTTCTCAGTCTTAGATGTTTTCAGTAGGTAGCTAATATTTTTTTTATATAACGTTTATCTGAATTTTAAAAGTTAAAATTTGTATGGCAACTTTTCTGACTATTCATGGTTTTCTACCATTGTCTACTGTGATGCTAAAATTCAAAATATTCAAAATATTACTTTTTCGTTTTTGAGTCCTATACCACCCTTCTATCAATTGTTTAAATATTCGGGCATTTTACTTTTTTTTTTTTTACCCTCTGTCCTTCAGGAAACGTCACAAATCAGCCCCTTCTGAAGTAACAACGACTCGTTATAGATCTAGATTTGATACGAGCAATAATGGTGATTGTTATCATGAAACAACCCCCAACATACACAAAGGTATAAAACGACATTGGCCTTGGGAAGCAATCAACACGTCAAATAACTTAATTTGACAAGGAATCATTTTCAACCAGGAACAAACTGTAACTTTCCCGTAAAGAAATACGCAGGAAAAACAGACTGTTTCAGAGAAATTAGCTGATTGATATGATGGCGTTCATTATCACTGAACTAGTATATATATATTTGTTTAGGGGCCAGCTGAAGGACGCCTCCGGGTGCGGGAATTTCTCGCTGCATTGAAGACCTGTTAGTGACCTTCTGCTGTTGTCTGTTCTATGGTCGGGTTGTTGTCTCTTTGACACATTCCCCATTTCCATTCTCAATTTTATTGTGTACTCCCCTTCAAAAGAAGAGCTTATTGTACATATTGTGCACTATTTGTGGTTGACAATTTGTGACCCTAGCAGAAACCCATGAACTGATATGGCACATGATTGTACTAGACGAACATCTCGACCGGGAGGACACAGCTTGTAAAAAGAGCCGAGCTGAGGCAAGAGCCAATGACATACAATATTTAAAAAAGTAGGTCAATATACCAACTTTTGTTGATACATTGATGTACGTGCATTATAATTTACATTTAGAACTTGATGGGATCGTTGACACATTTACACGCAGGAATCCACGATAAATGAAATTGAAATCAATTTCATTAGTCCTTTTTAACCATTTGCTTTAATTTTTACTATTTTTTATGACATTTATATCTATAAAACAAAATTTGATTTTTATAAGAGTTCGTAAGGTGACCTCCCCTGAAAAAATTCTGTATCCGCCCCTGCCCTATCCAGACCTTATGATAAAAAGAACCTATTGACAACGATATTTGCTTGAAATGTAAACTCATCATGCATAATCAACATCGAGAACGTTGGAAATTTATACCATGATAACTTTCCGTTATGTAATAAATATTACGACGTCACGATTTGTGTTGTTTTTTTTGGGCAAAATTTTTAAATTGCGTCGCTTTACAGGGAAAACGAAGTCGGTGACCATATTTTTGTTTACATTATTTATTTTGGTAGACAAAGAGGATGAAATTATTAATTTACAATAAAATTCTATGTACTCTGTCACATGATTTATGCAGAAAACTAAAAAGTGTCGACGGATTTTCCCTATACATTCAATGTAATTGAGTACCCTCTAAACCTATTTTAAACTTGGCTTTTTCTCGAAAACAAAGTCGGTGACATATACTTCTTTTTACATTTTTCGATGTCCATTTTTAATATCTAATCGAGTACTGAATTTTAAAAAATTCTATGTACTGGTCATTTACTGATCCTTGACCTTAAATCATGTCAGAACCATTTCCTGAGCGGACTGGTACCCTCTAGGATTGATAGCTCACTAACAGCGACAGTGTGGTTAGAACACTGTTTACCACTGACTTCAGTGCTCACAACACATGTACAAATCAGCACCAACAACAAAACTCAAACGTTTGTCCATGTCAGTTATGTTAACATACATATTTGGGCCATTCACTTGCTTGGAATTTATTATATTTGTGTTACAACTAAAATATTAAGCTAAGGGTGTTGAAATGTTAACCTTACTCTTATATTAACAATCAGCTTCTTCTGTTGATTGATTTTTGTTGCTTATTTAATGCAGGAGTAACTATCCCATTCATATTCAGGTCGAGAACACATTAATAATTTATAGAATAGGTAGGTCTTGAAAACAATGTATGTATTCAGGTATATAGGCAAAAAATGAAGACTGCCATTTGAAACTGACGATATGTTGTATAGGGGCAGCAACTTTGCCTTGCACAGACCACCTAAGGAACCCTCAGAGAGTTGTTTGAAGTGTTCTTTAACGTACAGAGAGTATTACAGTCTCTCCACACGAGACATTCGATTTAACGTTCCCATCCCCACCTGACGTGGATGTGTATTTTTACCTCCAAAAGTGTTGAACGGACGCCACACTTAAGGAAAGGGTTTTAACTACCTGACTGTTGAAGTTCGGATATAATTTTTATTTCTATGTTTGTCCTGACTCCTTCGTGAAAATTGACATACAAAAATAAAATTAAAGACGAACAACACATGTTCAAGATAGCCTTACTTGGCACAAATTATAGGATTCACCACCAGTTTTGGCAAAAAGAAGATGTGGTTTTGTTGCCAAATCTCCACCAGAGACTAAATGACATAGAAGTTAACAACAATAGGTCACTGTTCGGCCTTCAACAATGATCAACACTCATACTGCATAGTAAGCTATAAATGGCGCCGTAATAACTAATATAAAACAATTAAAACGAGAAAAATAACATTCTGATTTATGTACAAAACAATGAAAGAAAAACAAATATGATATACAGCAACAAACGACAACCGATGAATTACAGACTCCTGACTTGGGACAGGCAGATACAAAATGTGGCAGGGTTAAAAATGTTTGCTGGCGCCAAACACTACTCCTAACCTGGGACCATGGTGTAACAGTTCAACATAAGAACACACTATAAAAAATGTGGAAAAGGGTTTAACTCAACAGATCGATTCAAAGCAGAAAAAAAATAAAAAAAACACAGGGTATTTATACATCCCCAACAATTAAAACAGACATTAAGTACAGATCTGAGAGTACTCGCAGTTACTGACAGCTAGTTCAAAGCCAATAACAAATAATAATAAAATGTATCTAAGACTTAATAATAAGTACACATCCAATGGATTTAGTGTAAAGACATCCGTCACTAACAGTGAGAAAACATGATCTTTAGCAATGCCAAAATATAGGTATCGTGAGATTGTAGAACCGTGAATATGCATTTGTTTATAACAATGATATGTTGTATTGTAATTACAGTATTGAATTGTTAACCTTTTAGAATTATTTTATTTGTGCATTTTCAAAAAAAATAAATTTGAACAAGAAAAGAATTTAGTATAAAATAATGAAATAACATTTCTGCTTGCGAAAATATTTCAACCTTTCACCTTTAGGAGGAAAATCCAAAAAGTAAGGGTGTGTATCAAAACATGATGGCGGAAGTAACGGAGACAGATAAAGACGGAAGGCCACTACTGAGTATTGTGAATGTCAAAGCAGCTCTATTAGATTTAGTTTCAGCAGGTAGCTATTTTTTCTACTAAAACTAGGCTATTCTGTAGATTTGGATAAACGTATGCCTAGTTTTTCACACAATCTATGAAAACTGACAATTTGAATATATCAGACATATTCAGATAGTTTTTTTTATTGTTGTTATGTCTTATTCTATAATTATTCGATAATTTTTTGAGTATTGCCTTTTGGGTCTTAAGCGTATCTAATAATATTTCCCCAAAGATCCAGCACAAACAATCAGTTTGTCTGTCGTCCAACGTCTTCTACTGAAACTCAACTGAAAATACCACAGATAATGTTTGGTCCAATCAAACTATAGACATGGCCACAAGAAGCTTTTTTTGATTCTGATTTGTCTATTTACAAATTTACAAATTTCGTCTCTGAAACTACAAATGAAAATATGTTGAAAATTGTAAGCAATGGTGGTGGTTCGGTGACCACCTATACCAGATTTTCATGGTGTTAATTGGGTAGCAAATTGGTAGCGAATACATCGAAGTGAACCTTTTTGAAAATCCCATTTTGCCATCAACTCTAACAAAGCATTCCAATCTAAACAAAATTGACATGCATTCCTGTTTTTCTATTTGATTTGATTTCCTTCTTTTCTCTTACTGAACGAAAACCATACCTAGAGAAATTTTTTGATTGTGACTGGCCAAATCAAATTTTTTCTCTCACACTTTTAGGGAAATCTTTTTCATTTTCGTAGAATGGTTATTGGGTGATATTTTTCAAAATTAGTTTTGATTGGATGACGTCAATCCCGACTGTGATGTCACAAAGGTTCAAACTGAACTCCACTTATTTTTATCCCTTTCGCTGACAAAACATGACTTACGTAAATAAAATTTGGCGTCAATAATGTAAATAAAAGTTCATCTTAAAATTACCTATTTGTTTCCCTCATCTGACTTAATTGGGCGCCAGATTCCGTCCTTGAATCTGACCGAACAATTTTGTAGATCCTCTGTCCATTTTTGACGGTGGGAATGGATTCAAACGAATTACAAAGGTTTCCTTTTTTTATCTATCACAAAGAACTAGTTTTGTTATAGAACACACTTGATTGATATGCATTTATTCTTTGTAGGGTACAATACAACAAGAGGTACACTTCTTTCACTGGTTCATATCCTGGCAACACGACCTGACCTTCGAAAGTTACTACAGACAGAAGTTGACAATGTCATCGGATCTAACAGAAAACCAACTCTGCGCGACAGAGAAAATTGTCCGTTAATAGAATCAGTTCTGTTGGAAACTTTGCGATACATATCGCACATCCCATTATCAGTATTTCATTTTACTGCAGATGATTGTCAAATAAATGGTTACACTATACAAAAAGGAACAACGGTTAGCATAATTGATAAAAGGTTTAAATCAAAATGTTAATCAGCGCTATATAGTTGCTATTTTTATTCAATATTGCATATTTAATATGTTTTTGTGGTATAATTTGCAATCGCATGACCTAAATTGAATCAATTTAAAATTTTAAGACTATGACTTTTAAACTTCTTTTGGAATTTTGGTTTTTTTGTGAAATATGTCCTTATTCATGTAATTCCAAAAAAAGAGATTTGGATGCATCAATTTTTTTAAGAGTTATTTTTATTGAAAAAAACCTGAACAATTTATGTAAACCATATTAATTGATAAATATATACTTAATTGTGGACTTATGCCAATAAACGATCCTCTAGTTCAAAAGTCACTGTCCAAAGGGATGCTTAATGCCGTGATGATAATAGCTAATATTTTTTTATGCAGCTAAAGCGTTAATCCATAAATTTCATTGTAGACAATAAATTATACATGTATCTATTTCCAGATAATTCCAAACCTTTGGACTGCCCATCGTAATGATAAAGATTTTGAACATCCATATACGTTTATTCCTGATCGATTTCTGGATAAATCTGGTAACTTGGTTCCAGCAACAGACCCACTCCGGGAAAGGTATAGTTTGTAATCAAACGTACACATTATTTCAAGATTTTGTTTAATGCAAATTAAGTTGAAAGACGTGTTTGCGAAATAAAAATTGAGATCAAGAATACCCAACATTTCCCTTTATCCATATACATGTATACCGAAGAACAAGTATTTTTTTGTCCGAGAGAGAAGTGAAAGATACAAAAGGGACATTTAAACTAATAAAACTGACAACGCCATGTAAAAAAAAAAGAAAAACACAAAAAGACAAACAACGGTATACAAAACACAACATAAAACTAAAGACTGAGCAACGCGAACCCCACCAAAAATCGGGGGTTATTTCAGGTGCTCCGGAAATGTAATCAGATCCTGCTCCACTAGTAGCACCCGTCGTGTTCCTCCTGTAAGTACAAAACCGATGATAAGTCTAATTCGGTAGGTCACATTCGAGGAAAAGGAGGACGGGATTGTGTTTACGCCGATTGGAACATACCTGTCGTCTCTGTGAAACAGATATTCAATAACGGTCAAACAACTCGTGATGGCGTCAACTTGACTCTGTATTGAACCTTTGAAAACTGAAGCGTACAAAATATGCTCTTCTAAATATCGTCTGTTACTAGAATACAATATGATATTCACGACTGTTTTACTATGCATCTAACATCGGCAATTTTAAAGCCAAATTTAGCCTTTCATGTATTTAAACATTTGTGAAATAGGTAAAAAAAAAAAATGTATGTATAGAATGTAGGTAAATAGCGGCGAAATATATGCATTATTCACTTTAAATTACGTTTTCTCGGAAATCCATTCACAGAATATTACTTCACGATATCAAAATGTAATGGGATTTCTATCAATTACGATTATTAAAGTAACCTTCTCTTTTTGGTAGTCTAGAAAAAAAAATCATACATACTGTGGTGCGTTTGTTCATTTGATCAGCAAAACAGTTCAATATGACAACGATATTGAATCTACTGTATAGTGATAAAATGTTCACGCTAAATCATATATTGTACGTATATCATAGTAGCAGGTTTTTAATCTCAGAACTTTACGAGAAGTTTAAAAAAAGTGTTTTATGTTTTGAAAAATTCTTTGGGAAACTATTGCAAATATCAAAAATTATTCTCTGTTCAGATATAAAGCATGGTTTACCAAATGATATCATTAAAAGTAACAAATTCGTCCTTAATGTCGATATTCAATGCCATATTCGCTTAAAGTCTTTAAGGTAGTCAACAATGAATTAATCTCAAGACATCTTTTTTAAACAGTGGTTGCTGCTTTATATATTGTTTCTGACTTCTATTATAATGTTTTGTAGTTTAATGCCGTTTGGTGTTGGCAAAAGATCTTGTATTGGTGAGGTTTTTGACATATCAAGAATGTTCCTCTTTCTTACAACTTTGATGCAAACAGCTACAATCGAAAAACCAGATAGTGAAAATCTTGCTGAGTTTGGTTTAGATGGCCTGAATCCTGGCCTAGTAATGCAACCAAAACCCTATAAGATAAAATTTGTAATGCGACAGTGATTTCAAAAGGATAACACTACAGCTAAATTGAAATGAATGAAATCATTATAAGGATGTACTATTATCGGCCAATATTTGGCATGTTAACAATAAATATGTATCTGTATACCCTGTTTACCATATATTTTGCAATATATTCGGGATTTTTTTTTGTTCAGGGTAGTTTACCATGAAGTCATGGTCAAATAAACTTGAAACTTAGTATACGTGTTCATTATGATTTGCATTTGAAAAAATTATATACTGAATTCGGGTTTTGGCCCAGATTTCATAGTTCACTGAACATTTTCTGTTTTGTGAACTATTTTTGTCTTTTCGTCTTCTTAATGTTTGGCGATGGTGTTGTTTCCTTTTTTTTCTACTGATGATTTTTTATTGTCCACTTGGTATCTTCTCGTGCTCTTTAATGTTTAACTTATCATGTATTACTATTCAGTAATTTACCCTTATTGTCCTGCATCCTGCCATTACTAATAATGTATATTTTTGGTGCGTTGAAGACCCGTTGGTATGGCTTTGGGCTGTTTCCTGCTCTTTGGTCGGATTGTTTTCTCTTAGTCACATTCCCCGTTTCAATCCTCTATTCTATTTGATATTGCTCAAGGTTACCATTTTATTTCTAAACTGCTTATGATATGTTGGAGGTGTTTTGATTGAGTTATAAATCTTTGTCTATCTATTATTTGATATTGAACTTTGTATCATGTTTAATTTATTACGAGTGCTCTTATGTCGGTATTTTGTGTCTTTTATCGTTTTGTCAATCGTATTTTTAGTACCGATAATGACCGATATAATAAACTAAGCCCTTTTCAACGGATTTTACTGTTTGTTCTTTATATGGTGTACTGTTACATCATTGTCAAAAGCTAGGAATCGCACTCACAAACATGTTTTATCTAGCCACATTGTGTATAAGCCCTATAAAGCCTGTAGTCCAAAGATAAAAACTCAAGATTGTCGTCGGTACCTGCCTGCAAAAAATATTTTTTGTTTTATGTGAAGTTAAAATAAGGCCGTTGTTTTTTTTCTTTTTAATTGTTTAACATTTTGTTAACGAGTGTTTTTTAACTTATTACAGTTTTCGGTTTGCGCATAGTTGAATGCTGTACCTGTAATTATAGCAATTAGTCTCCGGTTGATATTTCATTGGTAATCATATCACGACTCCTTTATTTTATCCTTAAGGTGGTACCAAACACCTTGACTCAAATTAATTTGGCTCTTTTAATTTTATCAAATTTTGACAAAATATTTACTTTGACCCTTTGACAAAAGTAAAAAAATTCAAAAAACTTGAATCACACGCTTTGTTGGAAAAATGTCATTAGATAAATAGCAGTTGACAAACACTAAATTTGATCATTGAGAAGCTTAATATTTCCTTAAGGTATAAAACCACTCATTCTTAGCCTCATTCCTCTCTATGTTAAATTCTGAAATTTCAAGCATTGATGGCTACTTTGTCTTTAGGTCAAATAAAGTGGCAGTTATTTCATGTCAAAACTATACCTTATCCTGACTTGTGCTGAAAAAATCAACATACCTTTAATTGCATTTTAGAGTGTACTGATTCCCGGAAGTTTGATAGTACAAAAAACAGGTACTCCTGATCTGAACAACAGGGCAAATGTGCCCTCCTATTAAAATTGCATATACTTCTTAATATGTTTTTTTCCGACCGGGCCTGAATTAGTGGTTCTATACCCATAACAGCACCAAACTTGTTATATCGACTTCTGCTTGACTGAATTCCCTTTTATAATCTAATTCTAGCATAGAAAAACACATAAAGCTTTTGTCAAAACACTATATCACTGAATTCAAGCTCAAAGTGGACTGGTAGTAGCATATGCTTTATACAAAGAAAAAATATTATATCCCTATAGAATCACTGAAAGAGCTCCAGTAGGGTACCCCCATATATCCTAAGGTTCCATTCAATATATGTGTTTGATCACCAAGTCACTTCTTGTCAAATGTGAAAGGTCATAGCTAACATTTTAGTAGGTTTTCGATCCATTTAAATGAAAAGTAACATCCAATGGTTGCAAACATAGCCTTAAAATGCAACAGAACTGAAAGTATACTTACATTTCTCTTTTGTTTTTGTACGAGCTTGAATCCTGGCAGATCTGTACTTCTTTTTAGTTGCTACTATTGGTGTTTGATTATCTGCATCTTTCTGGGAATTACTAATGTTGACCTAAAAAAAATGTAATTATTTAGAGTATGAACAAACCAGGAAAAGACAATTGTGATTTATTTTTATCAATAGTACCGCTATATTCGACACTAGGATCCGTCTTAACCTAGTTGTAGGGTATGAATGATTTGTTCATTGTGGAAGACCCTCTATCAACTGTCAAGATGATTAACAGGAATAAAGCCCTGTTTATTGATAACATTATAACTTAACAAAAACACTGCATAAGTTGGTATCATAAATGATATACAAACTATTTCAACTTCTGTTTGTGTAGTTCTGATACCATCACTGTTATCATTGTTGACATTTATTGGAAATGGATCAACATTCATTGGTACATGTATGTTTGACTCTGGTCAATCATCACAAGGGTCTTGAGATGGGCACGTGCCAGTATGGATAAGCACAGCAACCTGATCAACTATCTCGTTAGGGTCTTTACTCTCTGCAGTTGGTGTATTATATAACACTTCCTGAAGAATCTGAAAACAAGGAAATAGAATTAAAATCAAGTTCATATGTTGCATTTACTTAACATTTTAACTAGGTGATTGAATAGTTGACGCTCATCAAAGCCATGCACCTATGACAAATAACTTTATCGTGAAGAAACAGAAGCAAAAATGATTTGTAAATAAGAACAATATATTTGATTGTACATATGTAGCACTAGTCTTTATAATTATTAATTACTTAAATAATAAGATTATGATTAGTTGTTATGTAAATTAGCTCGTGACTTGTGTCAATCGGTTCACTGTTTTCCTGCAATATCAAAGAAAAACTGGCAGGTGCCTAAACATTGTTCATTTTTATAAAATTTGCAATTTATGTATTAAAAATTAATTTCTACCAAATATGTAAACAAAAAAGTTCGTTTAACAGCACCCTTTCTAGTCCATAGTTGCACATTAGAGTCCTTAGCTGTGTTTAGACGTACCGTCTCTTAAGGGTCATTACTATATTCAGTTGGTGTATTATATAATAGTTCCTGAAGTACCTGAAAAAAAGGATAGATAATGAAAATCTAGTTCATATGTCACATTTATTACTTATGACTAGAATTACTTACTTACTTACTTAATCCACTTCATGTTCCTGAACACATAAGGCATCAACAAATTAGGCTTAAATAAATAAGTTTATTGTTTATGTAGTGATAAGCCATTAGATTTTTGGGAAACTATACTTTTGCTATGTCTTTAAAAAGGGGATGTTGAAATTTTAGAATTATCAGTGCTTACTAATTTGAAATAATAATTTAATTCTAGAAATGGGGAATTCTGGTAATAACTATAATAGTATAGCCATTAAATTGCAATAAATGCCCCCATATACATATATATAAAAAGAATGAAAATGTAATTATAGATATTTTGAAAGGTGTGTATAACATAAAAACAAATGGAAGACCATCTTATAGGAATGAAAAGCAAACACTATTTTTTTAACAAGCAAATATAAGACACAATATTAATTGATAGTTTTAAAACAGATGTATTACAAATAGTGATATAAGTTACTGAATAGTAATATAGATTTTGATGTAGAATTGTAATGTGTTTTTTTTTATTGAATTGACAGATTCATAAAATTTCAGAATTTTCTTATAAAAATATAATAAATTTCTTAGTTTAATCAGAGACATATATATATAGAGAGGGATAAGTAATTTCTTACAATCATTGTTGTAATAAAAAAATATGTAGAGAATTATTGGAGAAACTGCACTGTACACCTAAAACTTTAATAAAAGATTTTGATGGATTTTAATAAAATAAAAATTGTTCAATTATAAAATAATTCCCACATTTGTAGAGTTATAATTTGGTTAATATTGGTTATGGGACTTTATGCTCTTTGTGTAATTTGAATTATAATATCAGTGAAAACTGGTTTTCATAACACCTTTCTAATGACTTTGTTATATTGAATTACTCCACAGGTGGTAGGTGCATGGCCAAGTTGTTATTTACCTGATTGGAGGGATTAAAACTTCTGTTTGATCTTTATTACTAGATAGCAGGATGTTAATTAATAGGTGTTAAAACTTTAACCGTTTTAATTACCAGGATGAAAGGTGATAAATATCCATCCACATGTTTACTAATTTGTTTTATATCATGAACTAGTTTTAATGTTCACAGGTGTTTAATACTTTTTAGGGGGAAAATAAAATTTCTTGCACGATTTGAAGTGTCATATATATATATATATTTTATTAATAATGAATAAATAAATACATATTCTTTTAATAAATAATTAGACATTCAAACTTTGCTTTTGCTCTACATTGCCTAATGAAATAGAATGTCTTTAAAAAAAAAGCTACATTTTTACCCAAATTATTTTCTGCATTATCATGGAAGTACATGTATTGTTCTATATTGTATTATTTTACCATAGTCAGGTTTTGAAATTATTATGGCTACAAATGTATAGAAAATAAAAGGATATGGAGTAAATGTACATGAGACAAAATCGCACACAATACATAGAAAACATAGAAAATTATTACTTTTATGATCATAGAAAGAGAAAAAAATTCAGAGGGACATGGGACCAGAATAAGTTTTTATTGAGCTACACATTTGGTTATTATAGGCCTCTTACTGTACCACAACTTATGTTAGCTTGTTGGCTACATCTTTTCAAAGTCAAGGCTCTGCATTTGATATAAATGGCCTTACATGTAACTTCTACTTACTCCATTAATAATATTTTTAAATAGCCCTATGTTCATGGTAATTGTGGTGGTTTGAAAAGAAGGGGTGTAAATCAAACACAATAACTCTAAAAATACCCTTAAAAATACCCTATGTATGATGTAAAGGTACAATATAGTTATACCTAAAAAATTTGGATCCAACAGGAGAGGCTGCATAGGCTTAATATTGGCTTATTCTCACAATGACATTATAATAATGCATACATTTTCAAACATGTGCATATATACACATAAATTTGATGTATATATAAAGCCATATACATGG